ATTATCGGGTGTAACCGACGGTCCCGAGATTACCGGGTGTAACCGACGGTCCCGAGATTACCGGGTGTAACCGTCGCGAGATTGGCGAGACTATCACCCATAAGTAGAGGACCTCACTCCGCGATCAGGTACGATGATTTCTGACCTCGAACTAAACTAAGAGTCCGACCTGTACTGACTTGATCGTCGGAGTGCTCACCTTTTTGTGCAGGTCCGCCCAAGTCTTCAGATCGGTCCGGGGGCCGAGTTCGAGCTGTAATCGGAAATACACTGTTGTGCATATCCTTGCATAAACACTCCGAAAATGGCTTCCATTCTTGCTGGAACCCTCGAGAAATCTCAGTGGGTTCTTCAAATGAACCAAATCAACGAGCTAATTGGCGAAAATGCCCTCGACGCCGCTTCCAAGACCCCCATTTCCGTCTTCCAGTTGCCGGATTCCGTCCGCGACGCCCACCCAGAGGTGTACCTCCCCCGCCGTGTCGCGGTGGGGCCGTACCACCACTTCCGACCGGACCTCTTCAAAATGGACCTCTTCAAACTTGGGAAAGCCAAGAATCAGAAATGGGGTCCTCAGCTCGATCCTTTCCTGGATCAGCTCAAGTCATTGGACCTCAAAATCCGAGCCAGTTTCGATCAATCCCTTGAAATGGATGCCGAAACCTTATCCTGGGTTTTGCTGATCGATGGCTTATTTCTACTTGAACTGCTTCAAAATAGGTATAATGGCCATCCCCTTAAGCTCCCTCTAGAGATTTTTCATGGGAAGTTACCGGCTGAGTTTGAGATTGTTAGTGATATACTGAAGCTCGAGAATCAGATTCCTCTGTTTGTCCTCAGAGAAATTTGCCCCAAACAACCCACTAATTATTTGCCTGATCTCTTGTACAAAATTTCTGCATCTGTCTCTCCCTTTGAGCTCCCCTGGTTTGATCCTGAAATGGTATTTCATGAAGAGATCTACAATTTGTCTCACCATTTGCTGCATTTTCTCTATTTGCTGCTTTTGCTTACTCCCATAAAGAATCTGATACTGCGACCTCAATCAATTTGTTGTAGGGACGGCGATTGGAATGCTCCTCCTTATTCTTATTATTTTCCTTCTTCTTTTGATTCTGATAGCTTCGTCACTGAGTGTTTCAACATCTTGGGCTCTGTTATTAACATAGCCTTCCTTCAGCAACTGAAAGAGACCTTTAGTTTAATACAACGATTGTCTGGACTATTGCGTTCTATAACGAAGCCAAATTTGGGTGAGAAAAAAACCCCTCGAATCCCTTGTGCATCAGAGTTGAAAACTGCTGGAGTGCGTTTCAAGTCCACCAAAAACGGCATTCTGAGGTCTCGTTTTGACCGCAAAACGCTCACTTTAACTCTGCCTTGTATTAATCTTGATGCGTTCTCTCAAGTGTTGCTAAGAAATCTTGTGGCGTATGAGGCCGTGGCGGAGCTGAATCCGCCTTGTTTGGTCAAATACATTACGATCATGAATGGGTTGGTGAGAAGTTCCAAGGATTTGAAGATTCTTGAGAAAGCAGAGATCGTTTGCAACTATTTGGAGAGTGAAAAGGAAGCTGTGGAGAGCTCAACCAGTAGCTTGAAGAAAGAGGGCATGTTGAAAATCCATCTTGAGAGTGCTCAGAATTCTGCGAGAAGTGAGTACCTTCGAGAATTGGAGGCAAATTATAAGGAGGGATTGAGGGACATGGTTGAGGAGATCAATAAATGGTATGGGAATTGTTGGAGAATGAAGATGAAGAAATTTTTGTCTCTTGTTTTGCTTTGTTTTGCAATTCTTGTGGTTGTGTTACTCATTGGTGCTGTGATTGCTCGATTCATCTGCGGTTTTAGTTTTGTCAGCTGTCCCAAGGGAATATTCAAAGCTAGCATTGCTCTGCATCAGACGTATTGAGCCTAAGAAGATGGTGGGAAGTAATGTAGAATTATGGATGGGAAGTTTCCATTTTGGATCTAATGAATCATGGTTTTGGGTTTTTGAGATCGATGTTGATGGAATGGAAAGTTCTAGCGGCCTCGCGGGCACAGCGTGATTGACTCTTCGATCTTTGATAATAGTTGGAAGTTGCTATGAAGTATGAATGTCCCTTGTGGTTATTAGATATAGATTTTCGAAACATGTTTTATAAATTCTCTCTCATGTATTCAATGGTGTAAAGTTATTGTCAACACGAGCTTATCTCAGTGGTAATGGGCACATTTAAAGATCATGAATTCGAATTCTCTATTCCATTTGTTGTACTAAAAAATGGTGTATACAATCTGTCATATTGTGTAAGTTATTTTGATAATTTCTCTCGAATAAGACAAATATAATGTGAATTGTGAAGTTTTTTAATAGAAATTGAAAAATAATTTATGTTGGAAACTTGTATATATTTAATTCATGCCAAAAGTCCTCGATTAAATCAATAATCTCTCCTGAAATAGGACGAATATAGCGTGGGAATCATGAACTTTTTTAATCGAAATTGAAAACTAAAAGATATTTTGGAAACTTTGATATATTTATTTAATTCAGGCCAAAAGGTGTTGACAAGTTTTTGTACATTTATAAATAGATAAATTATTTAAATTGTTCTAAAGTTTTAGATTTAACTATTACCTTATCCTTAAAAAAATTTCACCTCTACCTTCGAACTTTAATTGAATTCAAATATCTCGTGAATAATTTACTTTTCACACTGGTGATGAAAATTGGTGTGGTTATTGAGTATAATTTATAAATAAAACAGTTACAAATGTGACTTCAAAAAATAGACAGTAAATATAGAAGCTATGTGTGAAGAGGGGAGAGAGGTAAGGAAAGAATGACAAATGTAGCTCAAAAATTAATTCTCCCATATTTGTTTAGCTCAACAATATGTAATATGTAGGGGTGATTAATGAAGTCTCAGACAAGTCGACTTTGGTCAATAATATATACCATAACTAACTAGTTAAATTATGTTGAAGTTATCGTTTTTATATTATTTTGAAAAAGAAATTATTTCTAATTTAAAATATATAAATCTTTTCCTTTAAAGTTAATGATTTTGACTTATATGGTTTTTTAAATACATTTTTAAAATAAAAGTAACTTCTTAACCATTGTTTTATTAAAAATATAAAGATTAAATACAAAAACTCGTTTATGGTAAACAAATTATATAAAAATAACATGTGACTGCATGTGGTATGTATAACATGTGACTGCAGGTTGGAATTGTCGGTATATATAACTCATGTACCACTTATATAACTTTTTATATGATTATATGATTTACCATTTATTTATTTATCACTGATATAATCATGATATATGTCAGATATATATAACATTTAGTATATCAGTGTGATATACTCAATTGATATACTTCCTATTAGAATATAATGAAAAATATAAACACTTCACTAATTTAAAATAGAATGAAGAACGGGATTAACAAAAAAAAACCTATTAAACACGGTATGATTTTTTTGAAAAAGTTCTAAAAAATTGAACCCTAGATTGCGAAGAAGAATCCCAATGATGAACAAAAAATCTATTAAATACGGTATATGTCTGATATACTATTGATATGATATTCTGATATACCTGATGTGAGTTTCTATGTAATATATGTCTGATATACGTCCAATATACTAGTGATATGATATTATGATATACCTGGATATGTATGTGATATACTACTGATATGAGTGTTTGATATATTTGAAATATAAATGTATGATATATATTTGATATACTACTGATATGAGTGTCTAATATACTTACAATATTTATATCTGCAAATGGTAATTTGGGAATATATTCAAAATCAGAAATCTAAAAAATTTGCTATATTTGAAAATGTAAAAAACAGGTACTATATTGTTAAATATATAAAACTAATTTGCTACCAAATGCAATTTCAAGTTTTAGTATTAAACTGCAACCTGACAGGTCTCACTTAAACTAAAATTGCAAAACTTCACCAACAATTCTAACTGTTTAGAATTTTGGAATCGAATATATTCCATTTGTTAGGATTGATGGAATCAAATCGACGTCGGAACGAACTAGGGACGAATCGGGATCAAGTCGGGACGTGTCACGACAAGAAGGATGAAAATAAGTGAAGCAGAGAGCTACAGGCCAGAATGGCTGAGGAGGCAGTCCCGAGGCATTGGGGGACGAAGTATTGACAGAAGCATTTGGGCATATCAAGATCAATGTATTTGTGGTAATTAGATCTTGATTCTATTGTGAGTTTTCATTCCTACCTAAGTATAGTGTGTTAGAATACTTAGAAGTTAGAAGACCTTTATTGGGACATCTAGAGGGTGAATATCTAGGGTGATATTTGAATGCTTTGTATCTAATCTCGATTATTAGTGGAACCTGCATCTGAGTTGAATATTGGACGTAGTTCATGAACTGTTGGAGTGAACCTGTATAAATTCTTATGTAGTTTATTTCTTTCCCTATATTTCTGTTTGTATTGTATGCTTGACTTAAATAACGGGAAATTACCGTGGAAGGGGAAATTTTCAGTAGCACCTAATTTTCCAACACCATTTTTTTTACTTGTTTTTATAGAAAACGATGAAGTCTTATTTTTTATTAGTAAGAATTTTGGAAGATTTGGAAAGAAAGAAGAAGAGGAAGAAAAAAAAAGGGCCAACATGGTCTTTTTCAATAGTATTTTTCCACCAAAAACACTAGAAGACAACATGGGGCAGTTGGTTGACCTCATAAACTAATGTGAGGTCTTTCTTTAAGAGATTATTTCTACACTAATGTGAGCTGGTCATGTACATGATTATTTCCTTTTATAGCTCACCTATATAATAATTAGGAATGTCCATTTTAAAAAGAATTATTTAATTGAAAATAGTTTATAAAAATAAAAAAAGTAAACTCATCCCGACCTCGTCTAGTGAACATCCTCATTACGATAGTGAGAATAATTTTGTATTAGTTAAAACTTGATAAATTTTGGTGTTTACCAATAAATAAGTAAGCGGTAGCTAGGTATCTCTTCGAGAGAACATAATATATAAGGCTTATCTTTTAATGTTTTTGTTTCTTTCATTTTTTATAAAGAAAAATGAATTGCACGGCCTCAATATCTATTAATTCAAATATGATAAAACAATTGGGAGAAGAAGAAGAAATTTGTTTCGATTGTTTCTAAAATTTTTATACCATTTAGATAATGTAAAAAAAAGAGAAAAACAAAAAACAAATTTTGGTACAAAATAGTTAGATTTTAAAAAAAAAAAATTAAAAACGAGGAAAATAATTTGACATAAAAAATGAAGGATGACATTTGGCAAGTGGTCTGAGAATACAAAATCTAAAAATAAAATTGTATTCCTATTTTCAATATTTTTCAAATGTCTGCAGAATGGATTTAAAAAATAGTTTAAGCTACCATAATACATTTATGAAAAAAGGTATTATTTTTAAAATGCAACTCTTCAATAAAAAGGATGTCTCTGTGATCTCTCTTCATCTTGTGCCAAAACGAAAATGGCTTCCATTCTTGCCGGCACTCTCGAGAAATCTCAGTGGGTCGTTAAAATCAACGAGCTTATTGACGGAAAGGCCCTCGACGGCGCTTCACAGACCCCCATTTCCGTCTTCCAGCTGCCGGCCTCCGTCCACGACGGCCGCCCAGAGGCCTTCCTCCCCCGCCGCGTCGCGGTGGGGCCGTACCACCATTTCCGGCCGGAGCTCTACAAAATGGACCTCTTCAAACTCGGCAAAGCCAAGAATCACAAACTGGGTCCTCAGCTCCGTCATCTCTTAGATCAGATCAAGCCATTGGAGCTCAAAATCCGAGCCAGTTTCGACCAACCCCTTGAAATGGATGCCGAAACCCTATCCTGGGTTTTGCTGATTGATGGTATATTTCTACTTGAAGTGCTTAAAATTAGGTACTATCGTTATTTCATTCCGTTCCCTACAAAGATATTTCATGGGAAGTTACCGGCTGAGTTTGAAATTGTTTGTGATATACTGAAGCTTGAGAATCAGATTCCTCTGTTCGTCCTCAGAGAAATTTGCCCCGAAGAACCCACTAATTATTTGCCTCATCTCATGTACAAAATGTGTGTAGCTGTTTCTCCGGTTCAGATCCCCTTTTTTTCGTCTCAAATGGCATTTCATGAAGAGATCTTGAATATGTCTCACCATTTTCTGCATTTTTTGTATCTGCTGGTTTTGCTTACTCCCGAATGGACGCCGGCTACAGTTACTATTTCTAGTTCTTCGAGGGAGGAGCGTGAGAGTGGAAATTATTCTGCTGCTTCTTATTCTTATTACTTTTCTTCTTCTTTTTCCTCTGATAGCTTCACCACTGAGTGCTTCAACATTTTGGGCTCTGTTATTAACGTTACCTTCCTTCAGCAGCTAAAAGAGACCGTTAATTTAGTATTACGATTGATAGCACTTTTGCGTTCTATAACGAAGCCAAATTTGGGCGAGAAGAAAATCCCTCGAATCCCTTCTGCATCAGCGTTGAAAACTGCTGGAGTGCGTTTCCAATCCACCAGAAATGGGGTTCTGAGGTCTCGTTTTGACCGCAAAACGCTCACTGTGGCTCTGCCTTGTATCACTCTTAATGGGTTCTCTCAAGTGGTGCTTAGAAATCTTGTGGCGTATGAAGCCATGGCGGAGCTGAATCCACCTTGTTTGGCCAATTACATTGCGATCATGAGTGGGTTGGTGAGAGGTTCCAAAGACTTTAAGATTCTTGAGAAAGCAGAGATCATTCGCAGCTATTTGGACAGCGAAAGGGAAGCTGTGGAGATCTTTAATGGCGTGGAGAGCTGCGGCAGGAGCTTGAAGAAAGAGGGTGTGTTGGAATACCATCTTGTGAGTGTTAAGGATTCTGGGATTGAAAGTGAGTTCGTTCAAGAATTCGAGGCGAATTATAAGGAAGGATTTAAGGACATGGTTGAGGAAATCAATAAATGGTATGAGAACTGCTGGAGAATGAAGATGAAGAGATTTGTGTCACTTGTTTTGTGTTGTTTTGCAATTCTTGGGGTTCTGTTACTCATTGGTGTTGTGATTGCTCGATTCATCTGCAGTTTCAGTTTTGTTAGCTGTCCCAAGGGAATATTCAAAGCCAGCATTGCTCTTTATCAGACCTATTGAGGTTAAGAAGATGATGGGAAGTTTCCATTTTGGATCTAATGGATTATGGCTTTGGGTTTTCGAGATCGACGTTGATGGAAATGAAAAGTTCTAGCGGGTACAGTGTGATTGACTCTCCAATCTCTGATAAGTATGAATGTTACTTGATTATTAGATATAGATTTTCAAAACATGTTTTATAAGTTGTCTCTAATGTATTCGATCGTGTAAAATTATGGTCAATGTGAACTTAACTCAATAGTAATTGGTACACTTAAAAGATCATGAAGTTGAATTCTCCATTTTCCTTCCTGTACTAAAGAAAATAGTGTAAAATTATCAACCACGTTGTGTAGTGTAGATTCCTTTGGACAATTTCTCTCAAATAGGACAAATATTGTGTTAATTATTAAGTTTTTTTAATACAAATTGAAAAATACTTTATGTGGGAAACTTGTATATATTTAACTCATGCCTAAAGTTCTCGATTAAATCAATAATCTCTCCTCAAATAGGAGGAATATAGTGCGGGAATCATGAAGGCTTTTTTTTTATTATTATTATCTAAATTGAAAACTACACTCAAATATATTTTGGACACTTTGCTATATTTAATTTATGCCAAAAGTCTTCGATTCAATAAAAAATTTCTGCGAAATCGAACATAGCTCAAGTGGTTAAGGCACCTATATAAAAATTAAAAAATTTCTTCTCGGATAAGACCAATATAAGTGCGGAACTATGAATTTTTTAATAGAAATTGAAAACTGCTTAAAGATATTTTGGAAACTTTAATATATTTATTTAATTCATGCCAAAAAAGTGTTGACAAGTTTTTGTACATTTATAAATAGATAAATAATTTAAAATATTGGAAAATTTTGAGGTTAGTTTTAAATTTAACTATTCCCTTGTCCTTAAAAATTTTCACCTCTACCTTCAACCTTTAATTGAATTCAAATATCTTGCGAATAATTTGCTTTTCACACTGGTGATAAAAATAGGTGTGGTTATTGAGTATAATTTATAAATAAAACAGTTACAATGTGACTTCAATAAATGAACAGCAAATATAGAAGTTGCGTGTGAACAGACGAGGAAGTTAAGAAAAGAATGGTAAATGTAGTTGAAAAATTGATTGTCGAATATTTGTTTAGCTCAATAATATATAGGAGTGGTTGATGAGGACTCAAACATCTGAATTTGATCGATAATATATACTTTAACCAGTTGAATTATGCTCCAATTGGTTTTTTATATTATTTTAAAAAAGAAATTATTTTTAATTTAAAATGTAAAATTTTTCCCCTTAAAGTTAATGATTTAGACTCATAATAGTTTATATATATATATATATATTTTAAATAAAAGTAACTTCTTTAACAATTTTTATTAAAAATATATGGATTAAAAACAAACAACTCTTTTATGGTAAACAGATTATATAAAAATAACAACTTTTTGGTTTAAAAAATATAAATAGCAAATAAGAAAAGTAATATTATCAAAAAAAAAAAAGAAAGCAAAAAAGCATTGGGAGGTGTATACCGCCCCCGTCAAACACAAAAATCTAAAAGCATGTTAATCTAATTATTTATAATTAGATATGTTAACTACCGTTAACACAAAAATCATATACATTGCTCACGAATTTGCACAGTAAATAGTATTTAATACACATACTTCCTACATGGCAACCAGTAGTAGAGTGAATCGCGTGTTACGCAATTATATTTAAAAAGCATCTATTGTATGCAATTTATATCAAATCATGATCGATGCAAATGTTTGTCTACCCTATTTTTATAGTTATTTTGAAAACTACTTTAATTATGTATTTTATAAGAAAACAAATCCCAAATAATTTAGCATTCATGAAAGATATAACTTGAAAATTTGTAAACATAAGGAACTGAATGGTAAAAACACCCTAACGGCAGAAACATATATTTAGTGCATTAATGTGCAGTTATTTTAAAATAATTATTTGTAATTTTATTTGTTTAAAAAAGAAATTGTAATTAAATATTTTTAATTATTATTAAAATTAAACTTTCATGCTTCAGTTCCCATCCGGTTCTATGGTGAAGTGGTTAGCACTCTGGACTTTGAATCCAGCGACGTGGGTCCGACTCCCGGTAGGACCTTTTTGTCTTCTTGCTAATTTTATTTATATTCAGAGCACTTTAACCTTACCCAATTTTTTTTAACTATATTAATTTCAACTTTCAATTTAGATGATTATATTTTTAAAATGTTAGTTTTGGTCCATACTTTTTAAAAGTGATTATTTTAATTTCTATTTGTAAAATTTAACATGAATTCTAAACCCGAGAAAATTTTTAAGAGCCATTTATTTCGTGCAAATTTGAGATTCTCGTTGGACGAGTATCTGAATTCCCATGTTTTTTTTTTTTTTGCGAAAATTTTAGGTACCTAAGAATCTTAAGATGCTCGGATATTCTAGGATGCCCATACGTGAGACATGTTATGAGTTTTGGATGTCATTGGTTTTAAGATTTTCTTGCTGAGACATCCACCTTTTACATTTTTGCCTTTAATTTTTTTATCAATTTTTTAAATTTTTTCTCAAAAAATTCTTTATTTTTATTTTTAAATTTATAATTAAAATAAATTAATGTTGTCACTAAGAAACAATTTTATGGTATTAAATATATTTTTACATTAGATTTACATATAACATAAACTGCAATTAAAGTATATAATATCTCCATTTATTTTCAATATTTTGAAGGAACTTCATTATTAATAATATTTATTATTATTATATATATATATATATATAAATAATTGTAAAGCAATTTTTTTTACGACCGACATACGTGTGATATTTTTCCTCCTAACAAAACTATAATGTGATGAAATGATAAATAAATTTCGCCCCAAATAACACAAATTATATGATTGTATTTTTGGAAAACTATTACGGTTGAAAATGAAATTTATATTAAATTAATATGAATTAATTTGTTCTACAAAATAACATATAAAAAAATATTAGATTAATTCAAATAAATCTATTATATTAAATGAATCTATGAATTATATAAATATTGGTGTGAGTATTTTTGGAACATTCTATAAATTTCACAGAATAAATCCTGCAAAACGTGACTATCCAAATATTGTTGGATATCCTCAAATTTTGGTGTGAAACAAACATGGTTAGTTAAAGATGACGGACATTTGAAATTCCGAGCATATGAAATTTCAGGTATCTATAAATGCCGGACATCTACAACCCAAAAAAACAAACGGTCCCTTAAATATAAAATGTATATATATTCCGGCCATCTGACAATAGTTTTATTTTTTTATTTTTTTATAACAACATTCTCCTACATACACAACCAAACATAATTATCTTTGATTTGAATTAATTTATTCAACTAATCAATTTAAGCTTCTGAGTTGAATAGTTGTTTATTTATCTTTAAGATGGTATAAGAGTCTATTGCATTGTTGTTTCCTCTTGGTTCTTGTTCAATCAAACGCACCGAAAAGCTTTTCTTACGGTTTATTTCTCTTATTACTTTTAGCTATTCTTGATTTTATTTTTTTCTCGCTTTCTCATCAACTTTCTCTTCACTTCGATTGTTTACATCTGTTTTCTAATTTTACTCCATTAATAATCTCCCTATGTCTTAGTTATTTGTTAAGTAGCTTCACCGTGGCTTTTCCAGTTTAATTTATGCTAAATCTGCTTCGATTCCGCTTGTGATTAGTCTATTTTTGTTGTTTGCTGTCGAACTGAAGCTAACATCTATCATAATAATTATATAGCAAAATTCACCAAACAGAACAACAAACAACAGACCATATATTAGAAGCAGAAAATATTTACTTATGCCACTGCTAGCCTTCTATTCGGTGAGAATTTTTCATAATTCTAAGATAATTTCTTATAAAATTTATAAGATAATTATATGTTATAAGATAATATTTACATCTATTGTAACATATATGTTATAAGATATTTCCGTAAAAATTTTCGATACTGCTTGAAAAACGCTATAAATATAAACATAAAATAGAATTAAGAAAAAACTATATAAATTAAACTATTTTATAGTGTTTTATCGAAGTTATGAGTAGTAGCATTGGAGATATGTTGTGTTTTTACTGCCACAAGAAGGAACACATGAAGAGGTTTTGCAGGAAGCTTAAAGAGGATCAACATAAGGGAGATTCTACTAATGTTGTAGAAAGGATAGAAAAGTTTCTAGTCTGTGTTAAGAATGAGTCAGTAGATCGACCATTAAAGTGGGATGTGGACACTACAACATCAGCACATGTATCTTCAGACAATAAGTGGATCTCATCTTTCACTAGTCACCATGGTGAAGTAAGGATGAACAATAAAAGTGCCTCCAAGGTAAGAGGAATTGGGGATGTCTGTTTGAAGACCGATGGGAGAAAATAGTTGGTGTTGCGAGCTGTCAAGTATGTCCAAGTTTCAGAAAGAATTTGTTATCTGTTGGAAAATTGGATGACGATGGTTTCAGGAGTGAGTTTGCAGAGGATAGCTGGAACCTTCTAAGGGAATTCGAGGTAGTGGCATGCAATGAACCACAAAGAAGCCTTTGTTTATGTGCCTAGATTTGGAGTTGCTAAGGGATCTGAGAGACAGATGATGCATAGGGCTGTAGATGGTTTAGGGCGAGACTTGAAAGAATCATCTACATTTACAACTAGGACAGGAGATAAGAATCTGTCATCAGTTCAAGTACAACAACTGGGAAGTAAAGGAAAGGGAAGGGGAACAATTCAGTGAGTTGTTCACCAGGTTGTCAGTTTTGAGCTCCAGTTGTCGGTTTAGCAAGTTGATGAAGTCACATAGGCGAAGGAGTGCATCAAGGAAAAAGACTTACAGTGGGTGCTAAAATAAAGGGCAATGTTTCCAGAGTGGCAACGGACTTGGTTGGGAGTGCCAAATCATTAGAGGGGAAATCTTCCTTCATAGGTCGTTGGGTTCGATCGATGAAGTAAGAATCAGAGAC